AAGTCGCATTCGCATTCGAAGAGGTTTTCAAGGTACTGCGATAATCGTTGATTAGCATTGAGTTCACTGGCTGTTTGCAGATGATATTGTGATCCTCTCAAGGTCTTCATATCTGAAGCATCTGAGTTCGAAAGCGGAAAGACGCCAGCATCGATGTCGTACTGAAAGTTAACCTGAAAAGACTTAGAATATGTTTAGCTTGAAGAAGTGAAAAACTGTGTCTATCTGAAACAGGTCACCTATGTAGCAGAGAATCGGCCATGTTAAATCACCAGAAGGACAAAAATAACATGGATCAGTTTCGGAAGACGGAAAATGCTCGTATCCGGAAAAGTGCTGTTGTGTTTCTGATCAACATGCTCTCTCAGTGTTGATCTGTCAGTGAGAAACGTGCTCCTAGGCCTACGGATATTCATAAACTGCGGTCTACTTAACTCAGCACAGAAAAATGCATATGGTGATTAACAACGAAAAGCAGGAAGACAAACGAATTGGAGGAGAGTGCAATCAAGACTCTTTGACCTTGCTGCTCGAGTGAAATAGTTGAGCTGGAGATGATCAGAACACATTGCAAGAAGAGCTGAGCCAATTATGGCCGGAACGGAGGGACATCAGACTTGGATTGGGGTGCATAGGGGTGCAAACTGTCCGTAGGAGGGCATTCAGATCGACGAAAGGGTGAGGTTCAATTCGTTTGATCAAGGTGGTTAAGAAGCACAGAAAATAGAAGTTTATGGCTGAGACTTCTGGAGGATTACCAAACGCAGGCTTTTCAAAAAAAACAAGTTTGAATAATGTTGGAGGCGTTCATACCCCTTCGAATTTGTGGGCACGCCGTGGCAGTGACAATAAAGAATGGCAAATGCTGCCATGCTGAAACCAGGAGCCACTCTATGATATGCTGCATCAAGCCCCGAGTTGGAAGGCGAATATTTACTCGAAGAATATGAAAAATTTTCGAAAGGTGGCTGACTTCAGCGAATTTGTCGGCTTGGAAGTAAAGCACGCACATCGCATGTTTTCTTGAATGGTACCAAATAACTGGTCTTGTGCGGCGTGGATGATTTTCGCGATAGAACCCTTCTAAAGAACCATGACGTTACACATGGTATTTGAGTCCTGCTAAAATGAGGGCCTTGAAGTTATATGGGAGCCCGATTCGGTAGATTGAGGTGATGGTCGCCAGTCACTTGCCCAATAAAGAACCAGTGCCTCACAATACGTTTCAATGCTGTGAATTTGCTGGATGAAGGTCGGAAGACATCGGCAATAGCTCATGGTGAAGGCCGACACTAAAAATGGACTGCCTAACAACAATTCAACAGAAAATGCTCCGAGAGAGAAAACGAGCAGGGAACTTCGACTTGTGTTCTTCGTGTGCATATAATCAGAACAAGTCAGATTAAGGATAGGATACCTGAAGGCAGCAATCAATGATCGACTGCGTCGTCGGACCAGCCGCAAATAGCTTTATATTCACGGTAAGTCTGAGAAATCGCCGAGAATGAAAGAATGGCCTCGTTGCTGGTGCTGTTATGTTTATTATATTCTAAAGAGCGAGTCTTTGATGTTAACAATCACTTAGATTGCTCTAAGCTATGAAAATCGTATGATACTCCTAACCGTTTAGTGATTTAGCATCGTCCCTCCGTTAGTAGTCCGACGTCATGATTATGTCATTTTGTATTCTTTTACGTCTCATCGTGTTTTCGTCTTTCTGCTAATATGCCTGACACCTAGTCCGCAATTCCTTTATGTCATAATGTGATTACAAACAGCACAAACAGATATATTGATTCTCAACTCAAAGAATGGAAATTATTTCAATGACCGATAACCGTGTTTCGACCCACGCCGAGTCTTACGCAACTTCTTGAAGGTAAAATCAATGGCTGATAGGCTACCAAAGAAGGTGAGTGCAATAGCTGATTTTATGAAGTCTGAGGACGAGTTATCGTGCTGCTCCGATAGATCTGCTGCGAGAAGCGCGACGAGGCTCATCCAGTTCGTGTCCAGTCTCATCGTTGACATTTTCACTATTGGTTACTCTTTATTTGATAAGATGCCTGTTTAGCCACTGTGATGATACCAGCCCACTATAATCATCGGGGGACGGGGGGGGGAGGCGTACGTGCCTTGTTTGCGTCGAGTGTTGTGCCATCACAGAAGTCTTGCATATTGGACCTTGACTTGGCTGGGGACAAGGTTTTGTTTTCTTCACAATACTTCGTCAGCGTCCTCTTAAAGCCGTTCAATCGTCTTTATCCCCTGGAACGTACAGCGATCGATCTAAGGGATTGCTCTGCACCGTGGAGTACGGTAGCGTTTGTTCTCTTTAGCCACTGCGGTAAACGTGAACGCCTGTGGTGAATTCTGAAGCGTTCGGCTAACAAGGCACCGTCAGATTAGTCTAAAATCCTGACTGGTGGTCACAACCCCTCCCACTGTGGTTCGGTATCGGCTGTCATTCTCAGGCGGTCAGGAAGCGTACTCTCATCGGCGGAAGCCAGTGGCTGCCTCTGGTTCACATGCAGGCTCCTGTTCATTCTGAAGTAACGTTGCTGCTCTACCGCGCTTTACCGCTCCACTGTTCCAAACATAGCAGAGCACAAAAGGACAACCAGTCGGAAGAACCATGAGCTGAAACCACAACATCTGGGTTTCGGCCCCTGGCTAGTCAACGTGGAAATCCCGCCGTCTGCATGCACGCAGTGATGATGATACTTCGTTAGAACAGGTTCACGTTCGTATGCGATCATTCATCTTTCTCCTGCTTATCAGGTTGGTCTTTGTCATTTGAGAAAAGATGTTGCATGGTTTTCTAGTGTAATGCTTTCTGCAATGATATATTTATTAAAAGCACAGTCTGTCCAGTTTTCATTCTCAGTGTTGCCTAATTAAGCATTTAGTGTATAATTCCCACCCCCTCCCCCAACCCAAGATTTCCCGCAACGTGGTACCGCTTTTTGTTCCTAGCGTTGCATAGGGGGCGATTAAGCAGACCTGAACTAAGTGATATTTGAGCACTGAACACAAACAATACGAACAGTGTTTCGGTAGCTGACACTCCTTGTATGCTAGAACATAAGTAGCAAAATACGTTCATGTGCCGCATCGTGATACATAACACAGAAATTCTCCGAGTTCAAATTTTACCCCGTATTTTTCCGCCCTTACTCCCAGTTGTCTCAGACGCCTGTAAGCCAGGCCAATTACTGATATTTTAATTATTTTTATGATCATGCTATTTAAATCTTCACCATTTATCTGTTTTAGCACAATTACAGAAAGTTTGTGTCACTAGATTTAGTCATTAAAATGTCCAAACAAGGAATGCTAGTTGCACTATTGTCCGGGTTCCCATTACTTGCCAGTGGATAGTTCCGGGTTCAGTGGTTCGCCTTAAAGACTATTCTCATACATAGCGGAGAACCAACTTAAGCGCACTTCGACCTTGTCCTTCAGTTCTGTTTTTGTCTGTAAGAACAAAGGCAAGGGCGTCGTTCTAGATGACTGTAAATATACGGTGTATGTAAGGAGGTGCGCATGATTACTGTCTAAATTTGGAAAATGATAAGACACAAACAACGATGAATTTTGAATAAGGGCATACTGCGGTTCGTTAATGCTGTATAATAAGACAGAGTTATTGACCGAAACGACTTTGGAAAAATCAGTACTGGCGATGGATAGAATCAGATGTCACACATGGCTAGAGAATATCATAAGACTAGTAGAACGTTGAATCTGAACGCATTGAGCATACTGCCAAAAAGAGCGTTCTACCTTATCTCGGAAACATCCACATATTCCACCACTGAGGACCGGCTGTACGAGTCTTAGTCACTGTAGTGAGGACAGCATCGTCCAATAGAAAACGATGGCCAGCCAGCCAGCCTGGTTTGTCGACAGAAGTCGATCAGTGGTGTAAATTAGTACTGCCACGTTTGTGTGAAGGTTGCGTGTAAATTGAAGCAAATTATTTTTTGTCGAAACGTGTTTCCGCTTCAAAAATACACACACACTGAGAGGCACTACTAATCGCTTTGGTGTCATGGAAAGTCATCCGTTTAAATATGAAATTCAACGTGTTCGTTAAGTTGTCAACAGACCGGTCAACAACGGCGTAGAATGGTTTCCTTGTCGTTCGTCCTGCATCGCTTTGTTTTCCTGCCTTTGTTAGGTGTTTGTGTGCATGTTCTAAACCACAGCAGTTTGTTCAAGAATGCGTGAGAGTCAACGAAGGCGACTCTGGGCACTTTCACTGTTCTGTAGTCAGATCGTCGGATAACCGACAGACTTACAAAACGCGACCGCAGCCAGAAAAGCTGTCTTGTTCAGTCTTCACTGGCAGTAGTTAGCATTTTTTGTAATAGTCATATATTTCAAGTGGTCGGCCTGTCACTGATCGCTCTGGTTGTCATTGATGCTTCAGTTTTCGGTAGCTCTAACCTTTACTCGATTCACCTGGAGTGGTAAGCAAGCAATTACGAAAGTTACGCATCTGCATATGTAAGTAGGCACGTAAGTACGCAGGTACCCTTGATAAACAAATAGCAGCTGTTGTTGTTGTTGTTGTTTTGTCCTCGTCATCTAAGGCAAACAGCAAAGTAACCTAGGTTTTTGATCTTACCATTGGAAGAGGTACTTCTGAATGATACTATCCACTGAGGCGACGGTTACGTTCCTCGTCGCAAGTAGTTGTAAGTAGCAGTTACACATGACTATCATTTCGTGCTCTGGCTGTGGCTTCCTTATGGTTTATACGCTCATCAATCGAGATAAAGCAATCATTGTACTTTCACCAAATTGTATTGGGACTCGTCTAATATTTCGCAACGTCGAAGACGAGAGGCTTTGAACTTTATTAAAAGAATATAAATATTGCAATAGGTAATAATCTTCTTCTTAAGCCGACAGGCAATACTGAATTTCAGGTCCCTCGCGATACATACACTCAACTTTCGCAATTAGTTATGCACCGATTAAACGCTAGCCATCTAACGTCGACTACAGTGTCTGCAGTACCAGGCATGAAGCACTTCGACCGGCGGTTTCCCGACCGGCAGCACATCTCGCTTGTACACATCGTGCAGGTGGATGTGAGCGACGATGTACAGAGAACAGACAGAGGAAAAGATGAGGATCCATGAGGCGGCGATCTTCACCTCGCGACCTTCATTGAGGAAACTTTCGACGCACAGCAACAGCAGGCCGATCAGCAGGCTGAGTATAGTGGCGCTGAGCATGAAGTTCATGCGTATGGTCACCATCATGATGATCGCTGCGTAGATGACAAACACGGCCAGAAAGTATCCGACGTCGCTTTTGGTCGTCTTGTATATGTTGTAGTAGTCGCCGAGTAGAATGAACGCGAAACTCATCCAGAACGAGCCAAAACTTCCGAAAACTCCAAAACCGAAGTTGTCACCTTTCGTGAAAGCGAAATAGCCTGAAAGTCGGTCAGTTAAGGCGGACGC